AGAAGTGGTGCCTCGATGCGCACCCGGGATCCGAACCCGGGCCACCAGCATCGCAGCGCGCGCACTTAACCACCAAGCCACAGGGCCGGCCCAGAATTTTTAGATTTCAGATTAATGGCAGGCATGAACTATAGGATAGGAACTGATCTAGCATGCATATCTTTTGGGACTGGCAGACTGTTAATCTTTTTTATTTTATCACATCATTAAAAATGATTCCCTTTTGTCCTTAATTTTAGATTACTGATTTTGGGCAGTCCAAGATTTTGGGGGAGACCTCCCTCATGAGAACTTTATGTGGTACCCCCACCTACTTGGCTCCTGAGGTTCTTAATTCCTTTGGGACTGCTGGATATAACCGTGCTGTGGACTGCTGGAGTTTAGGAGTTATTCTTTTTATTTGGTAAGAAAAGTTTTCATTGCTTCAGAGTCTGGGTGGAGGTAATTAGGTGAAATCAGATATATGTCCAGGTATAGAGAGCTTGTGTTTAATTTAGGTCACTTTTTTTGACCATCGATTTAAAGAAAAATCTAATTTTGCATTATGCTGAAAAAGAAATCTATATATCCGAATGCCACTGAGAATGCCACTTGATTTCTTTTCCTTTCTCTCTCTACCAATATTAAGCCTTAGTGGGTATCCACCTTTCTCTGAGCATAAGACTCAAGTGTCACTGAAGGATCAGATCACCAGTGGAAAGTACAACTTCATTCCTGAAGTCTGGGCAGAGGTCTCAGAGAAGGGTATGGATACGAAAGGATTAAGAATTTGTGGTTTGCTAAAATGTTGTGTGTGCTGTGGTGGGAGTTCTTTTCAAATTGTGTGATGTTTTCTCCTGTCAATTCGTTCTTATTTTCTGTTGTTAGTTTTGTATCATTTGAGAGGCAAAAGAAGCTGTTAAGAGTGTGGGCTCTGGAACCAGGCCCATCTAGGCTCATGTCCTGGGTGGGCTACTTCCTAGCTTTTTGACCTTAGGCAAGTTACTTAACCTCTCTGAGTCTCCATTTCCTTTATAACAATACACCCCTAATTTAAAGGGTTTTTGTGAGGGTTAAGTGTACCATAACACAAGTGCCTGGCACCTATTTAAGTGTGTAAAATAATAAGTAACTTGTTAGTTATAGGATTTCCTTTGAGTAAGCATGTAAAAGCTAAATGTAGTTACTTACTTCGTGTTTTAGAATTTAAAAGTGCAACTTTGTAATTCTCAAAGGAAAAAGTAGCAAGCTAAAACTAAATGTCAAATAATGTAACATAGATGATTGTGTAAATGTCAGAATGTCTAAAGAATAATATTGTTGCAACATACAAGCTAGCTCCACTTGTTGCGGGCTGTCAAGCTTTGTTTCTGCCAAGCCTGCAGTTCCAAGGAGACTTTCACTGGCTGAGGAACTTGCACCATCAATCTGTGGGTCTCTGGGAGAGTTGGCACAGCATCCTGAGTGTCTTAGAACTGGGTGGAAGTTCAGCTTTAATTAGTTTTGAATTTGAGTCCAATAACGAAAGAGGGAACAGAGAGCTAAGAGGTTGTGATGTGCGAGCAGGGAGAGATGGGGAGCATTGTGGTCATTCCTAGTGTTCTCAGAGCACTCTGACGAATACAGAGAGTGAGGAGGATTAGGGGCCCTGCCCACCACGCCTGCTGACTCACAATGACCTCAGCCTCTCTCTCTTCTTTCTGGATGTTGGCCTATGATTCTGGCATTCTTTAATTTTGCAGATTTAATATATCTATCCTTTTCACTGTGATTTGCCAATTTATCTTATTGCTTTAGCTCTGGACCTTGTCAAGAAGTTGTTGATAGTGGATCCAAAGGCACGTTTTACGACAGAAGAAGCTTTAAGGCACCCATGGCTTCAGGTGGGTATGGGGCAGTGCCTGCTAGCATGAAACATATGGGCAGCCCTGAACTGTACCTGAGAGATGAGAAAGAAGATGGAAACACAGTGTTTGCTTTGTTGGGTCTGTTTAATGCATTTGTTTTAGATGGAGCTCTAGGTGTGTGGTGTGTGGGTGTGTGTATGTGTGTATATGGGTGTGAGTGTGGGTGTGTCTTTGGATGCAACCTTTTCACCTTGACTTGTGGCTCTTGGATGGACAAGCTCCCTTTATGGCCTGTCCTGGTTCCACTTGGCTTCTTGAGTCTGCAGTTTGGCTGTGTTCCTTTGAGAGGTTGTTTTAGCATCAAACCTCTACCCCCAGCTGTGTCCTACTCTTCCCTCAACCCCCCCCCCCACCCCAAACAGGTAGGATGGGCTGCATTCCAGCCATCTTCAACCCTAGATCAGGGAAGCAAGGCAGGGAGGAGGACAGCCTCTCTGGGGGAGAATCAGCTATTTCTCAAGCCCAAGTGATTGAGTATAAAGGGTCCTCCTACTTCTTGTTCGTGGTGAGTGAGCATGCTATTTGTGCAGACTGTTACCTGTGCCTTTCAAGTCTGCATTACCTCTCTGTCCCTACTGGGGGTTGTGGCTGCTGTTAGATTATGCGCTGACCTCACTGGAGCCGCCAGAGATGGAAGTCCTTTGTGGCTTTGCTGGGCTAATCTTTGGTTTTGGAATTAGCTTACAGTATCAGGCAGGTTTTCTTCTGACAGATGTCAGGTCTTCAATTATGTGCAGTTCCATTTGGCACAGCCATACCCTTTGTCATTAACTTTCATTTGGTGTCTTTCTTTCCTGTGAGGATGGGGACTTAACCAGGTAGCTTGAGCTAGAGGCTGTTACTCTGGGGGATTACTGGTCCAGGAGCGCCTTGAGCCATCCAGTCTCAGCACTGTGCTTCTGGGACTCCAGGAAGACGGTCTTCATTTTTTCTCTCTTCCAACCCTCCACCTCTAACGGTTTTGCTCAGGTTGAGAACAACAAATCCTTCAAAGAAAAAAAAAAGTAGATATATGTGTTTGGGATGTTGCCCTGGAAACAGCAGTCCCCCCAGAAGAAATCTGTCAGATTATTTAGCACATAATAGACCACACAGATTTGAAACAGCAGGACCCTGGAGAAAAGGAATTTGGAAACAAAGGGTGCCTTTGCATGGGGGAATTTAATTTTGATGAAAAATAAAAACATGCCTCTTGGCTCTTTTCATGTGCCCGAGTAGGGAAACTCGCGGGGGCCAGATGTGGAGGTAGAGGAGCTTGCCAGTTAGGTCTGGGAACAGGGTTTGCATCTGCCCGGAATTTAAACAAGTATAGCCTGTGTTTGTGGTATTTTTTGTCTCAAAAGAAAGCTGTTATTAACACTGAGGAAAAGGTGAAGTTCAGTGCTGCCACAGAGGTCTCACTTGAATACTCTTTTGTCCACATTTTGTTTTTGCAGCAAAAGGTGGAGCGAACATTGAGTGAGGACAAGGATGCAGATTGCCCACATAAATCATCTGCTAGTGATAGTTTAGCTCTTAGTTTGGGAAAATTCAGTGTTTTTGAAGAAACCAAATGGTTTTGTGGGTCTGGCACTGGACTGAGCATTTGGAATGTGAGTTCCAGTCTCTGTTTTGTCATTAACAGTTTCCAGTTTGGGAAGCATGCCTTATATCCACTTTTGGCCCCTTCTTCACTTCCTGAAATAGAGGGTTCCTTCCTGCTTGTCTTCGAGGCACATTACAATTTAATATTTTTGAATAGATTGTAGACATCTCAAAGGAAGGTTATTTGCAGATACACATTGCTGCCTGTGGTATGTAATGAGCTCCTTTTTCATAATATTGCTGATTGACTTGTTTTAAATGCAGGCCTAAATAGGGTTGAGGTCAGTTCTGTTTGTCTGCATTGAAGAGCTGCCACAAGGGGTGTTCCAGCATGGTTCCATTTCTTAGTGCATTCATTCCTTCAGAGGACAGTTAACGAGCTTGTGTGTCAAGCACTGTTAGGCACTGTGGATGCAAAGAGGAGTAAGATAAGCCCTTGCCTTGGGGTTCTGACAGTCTGGGTGGGGGCCAACCCCACCACTACTGACCACAGTCAGTATAGAACAGTGGGATATATGTGGTAATAGGGGTAGGTGCAGAGTATGGTGGATCCCCAGGATGAGATGGGGCCATTGCCCATGGGGCTGCAGGTACCCACAGGTTCACATAGTGTGAAGACTGTCTAAAGGCTGGGGACCTGGGGATAACATGGGTGTATTCGTTTGCTAGGGTTGCCATCATAAAGTACCACAGACTGGGTGACTTAAACAACAGAAATTTATTTTCTTGCAGTTCTGGAGGCTAGAAGTCCAATTTCAAGGTGTCGGCAGACTTTGCTTTTCCTGACACCCCTTCCTTGCCTTGCAGGTTGGCTGCCTTCTCCCTGTGTCCTCACATGGTCTTTTCTCTGTGCACTCACATCCCTAGTGTCTCCTCTCTTCTTATGAGGATACTAGTCATATTGGATTAGGGCCCTGCCCTAATAATAGCCTTATTTTAACTTAGTTACCTCTTTAAGGACCCTGTTTCCAAATATAGTCACAGTCCTGGGGGTTAGGGCTTCAACATATGAATTTGGAGGGGGGAGACGGGGACCACAATTCGGCACGTAACAATAGGGCACAGCATTTTCAACACTGATTGAGTCCCTCTGATATGGAGGCCCCTGTGCCTATTACAGTGCCTGGCATCTAAGAGTGCTTGGGAAATGTTTGTTCACCAAGTAAATGAGAAAGGTGGGTGAGGTGGATAGGCAGGAAGGCACGGAGGGGATTTTCGGTGGAGGCTGTGAGCAGGTGTAGGAGGAAACTTTGAGAGTGGCACTGCACGAGAAGTGAGATCCTAAGGGAAATTGTGGAGTGGAATCCAGATGAACTTGGCGCTCTCAGAATGGGCAGTGGGGAGCTACACTGAGTGCAGAAACAGAGTGATGGAAGCAGCTGATTCTCTCCACTAGATAGAGAACAGGTGAATTAATCCTCGAGCACTGTAATTTTTTAATATCCATCAATTTGCTGAATGTTGGAGGCCTTCACTCCTACGTCTTCTCCCCCACCCACATAGTACACTTGGCTTAGTGGGAAGAGTGGGGTTGGGTGGGAAAGTAAATGGGGCTTTAAAATTAGGCCACTCTGGGTCTATATTCTGCACACGTTACTTTTTTTTTTTTTTTTTTAAAGATTTTATTTATTTTATTTTTTCCCCCCAAAGCCCCAGTGGATAGTTGTGTGTCGTAGCTGCACATCCTTCTAGTTGCTGTATGTGGGACTCGGCCTCAGGATGAACGGAGAAGTGGTGCCTCGATGCGCACCCGGGATCCGAACCCGGGCCGCCAGCATCGCAGCGCGCGCACTCAACCACCAAGCCACAGGGCCGGCCCTGCACACGTTACTTTTGAGTGGCTGAGCTGGGCTTCCAAAGCTGGCTTCCTCAAAGCCCACAATCCTAGTCATGGATGCTTTACCTTTCTGAAGGTGGGGAGAGCTGCACCAGGTCACCTCTCAGGTCTCCCTGATGCAAATCTTTGAATCCTGCAGAAGTGAGTGTCCAGGGAGGTAGGAGTTACCCTCATGCACAGCTGGGCTGGGTGTACATGTGCTGTGCCCCCTTCTCCCCACCACCTCCCTCTCCAGCAGGAAGAAACATCTGTAATTCTATGGCCTGTTCACCTGTCTTCCTTTCTCATTAGACCCAAGCTCTGGGATATTGTGGGCTTGAAGTCCTTCTGGCAACTCGTATAGCACTTGCTGGGTGAATTTTCCTAGGTTGGTTTCCTAGGGTTGGTTGGTTAGGCTGGCCCCAGTTACTGGCCTCACTGTTATCGGAGAGAGGGGACCTCCTGGAGTCAGCCCCCAGAAAACTGAGCTGACTCCAGCCTCTGGCCTCCAGATTGCCATCCCTCAGGATCTGGGCTGCTGGTTCTGAAAGTCTTGACTGCTAAGGTCTGTGGTTCTTCCTGACTCACTGAGAGCTCTTAGGTATGTGGGTTTGGTTCAGCCAGTATTGACTGAGTCCTGACTGCTGATTAGACTACTCTGGGAAGGCAGAGGTGAGGAATGAACACCTTTCTCTTCTGGAGCTTCAGCAAGGGCATGCCTCTAAGTGGACAGACTGGACCTCTTTGTCCACTTCCCTGTTTCCAGGAGCATCCTAGCCCTGTCTTTCTAGGGGCTTTCTTTCCCTCAGACACAGCCTACTTATGTTTTTCATTTCTTCACAGGATGAGGACATGAAGAGAAAATTTCAGAATTTGCTTTCTGAAGAAAATAAGTCAACAGCTCTACCTGAGGTCCCAGCCCAGGTATTCTGGATGATGGTCATTAAATGTAGGCTAAGTTTACAGAGCTGATGAGCAACTATGATGAGTTTGATTAGTTTCTTTAGCAGCAATTGCTTAACATTTTTTTAGGATGAATGTAGCATATACTTTGTTTCAGCTTGATCTGCTCTAGTACCCTTAGAAGATTTAATAATGAAGAGTATGTTTAATGCGTTAGAGAAGTACAGCTAGGGATTGTCAATCAAGAGGTCTCCTGCAAGGCAAGATTGGAAAACTGTATTAGAGGCTCAAATTTAAATTTGTTGAAAAATTTAAAATTTGGGTGAGTGGTTGATGATTTATTGATTATAATTTTATTCCTCTAAAGTTCTTTGTAAGTATAAGTTAATATCTATTCATCTTGTCCTGTCTTCTGTTGGTGAATGATAACACTCCTCTTCCCACTGCCCCCTCACAATTTTATAAATGGGAAAACAAAGACACAAAAAAGATTGTCTTCTCACAGAAGAGCAAGACTTGGGGCTCCCAGTGAGAGGTTTTGTAGTCCCTTTAAACGTCATCATTTGGGAAAAGGCGACCAAGAGGAGGCTGGTAATGCTGCTTACTTTTAATATACATCTTTGAATGGCTGGAAGCCATAAGGGAGAGAAATGCCAGTTTGATAAGCATGTCTGAGTCCTGGCAGGTGTGATGGGGATTCAGATGTCAATGAAGACACCAGTAATTCTTGGTACTAGAAGTTTCACATGAAATGCTCCAAATTTACTCCAAGCTTATTGGGAAACTTTGATAATCTTAAAGAAGCCAGTGGTTTTCTTTGAACATTTCTCTCTTTTCCTTTATTTCCAGCCTTCCACAAGTCGAAAGCGGCTTCTGGAAGGGGAAGCGGAGGATGCTGACACCACAAAGCGCCCAACTGTGTGCACTGCTGTCTCATGAACACTGGTTGAACGTGAAAGAAATGTACTTTCTTGAACCCTGCTGCCATTTGCTTTAAATTTTTTTTCTATAGTTTGTATTTTAATTATGGGAACAGTTCCTTTTCCATAATCATCGATATACAATTCAAAACCTAAAGGAAACTGGACTTTATGCTTCTGCTTGATGACCAGCTCTTTAGTTGCATGCCTTTTGTGTGTGTGTGTATTTGAAGTTGTTGTGTGCATTTCATCTGGCACTCTACCTTGGCCGTAAGCAGGCAGGTTTCTCTGGATGTATCCCTGATCTCAGCCTGGGCGAACTGCATACAAATTCTAAAGGCCTGTTAGAAAGTTGCAGGAAAAGAGGCCCAGCAAAGTTGGGGTGAAGTTTGTAGAGACTGGCTGCCTGCCAAAGTCCCCATGAGACAGGAGGTACCTTGGTGCATATACCCCAGGCCAGTTTTCTCATCCTCACCCTCATAAAGATACAGATCCTGAAACCATGGGGCCAGATAAGTTGTAAAACACAAAATTTTCCTGATTTTCGGAAGGGGACGTGGCACATCAACTGTATTATGTGTAACACCCTGCAGAGTCCTATAACCAAATAGTTTAATATTTCTGCAGCAAATATTCACAGTAAAAGGGTGAGAGAAGAGTACAAGTAGCCTCATGTCAGTTCATGTCAGTCTTTTCTGCTGAAGAGTTATAGATGACTCTCAGGTTTCAGAGCTGTTTGGATTTTGGAAATGCAGATAAGGCACGTGGGCACGTCATGTTGACCCAACAATGACCAGGGAGGCCCTAAGACCCTCTCTTGATTGGTACTGTCTAGTCGTCCCAGTGATTCTATGGGCTAGGTCCTCCAATCACCCTTATGTTATAGGTGAGGAATCCAAGCTGAAGGAGTAAGGTGACTTGTCCAGTGTCACACAGCTAGTAAGTGGCAGAGCTGGGACCCAACCCAGGTCTTTCTGACTCTAAAACTAATGTTCCTCATCTCCTCAGTCCCATATTCAATAAGACTCAGGGATGTTGACTCACACTGACAAAACTCGCAGGAGATTAATGTCTAAATGTTGAATGCCAGTGTGTTCAATTATTATGAGTGGGTACAGTCCCATGATCTGTGGAAGTTGGGACACCGTGGTGGCAAGGAACAGAGGCCCATTCAAAGTACTTCACGGAAAAGAGGATTTGTTTCAAGGTTACAGATGGCTGGGCCTGGGAGCCATCGGGAGCCCAGGCACTTGTAATGGCTGGCTCCTTTTGTCTCTTTCTACCCACTGATTTTGCTTCTCTTGTAAATTTTTCAGATGCCACTGGTGAGCTAGCCAGGGCAGGGTCAGGGCTACACAGCGTTGCCCCAGGCAGTGGGGGTGGTGGTTGGTAATTTCCATTAGAAGAGTGTGCAAGCATTCTGAGGCTTGGACGGTGGGGGTGGGGGTGGGGGTGGGGATAGATGGTGATTTAGGTGGTTTGTATATTTATAAGAATGAGGCTGAGATTGCCAAGTTAGATGGGTTTTAGTTCATTTGAATATTTAATGTGAAGGCTGTGGTTTCTTCGGGCATTTTTCCTTCTTGAGGCAGGGTCAGCCAGCCCTTCTCTGTTTCCAGAGCACTTTGTATCAGCTCCCTGTGATTATACCTTCCATGGTAGGCTGAATAATGGCCCCCAAAGATATCCTCATCCTAATTCTCAGAACTGATGAATGTGTTCTTTTACATGGCAAAAGAGACTTTGCAGATGTGATTAAGTTAAGGATCTTGAGATGGGAAGATTATCCTGTCTTATCCGGGTGGGCCCAATGTCATCACGATGTTCCTTTTAAGAGGGACACAGGAGGAGTCAGAGTCAGAAGAGATGGAGTGATATGCTTTGAAAATGGAGGAAGCGGCCACAAGCCAAGGAATATAAGCAGCTACCAGAAGCTGAAAAAAAGCAAGGAAATGGATTCTCCTCTCAGAGCCTCCTGAAGGAACCAGTCCTTTATACCTTGACTTTAGCCAAGTGAAACTGATTTCAGACTTCTGACCTAAGAGAATAAGAATTTAATAAAAGAATAAATTTGTGTTGTTTTAAGCCACCCAATTTGTGGAAATTTGTTACAGCAGCCATAGGAAACTAATACACTCACCAATGGGGGGACGTCAGCTGCTGATTTGGGGCCACGCAGTATCCACTTTCTCTTCCTAACCTCACTCCTGTTTTCTTTTGGGGGGATCTTTTTCCCTATCCTATGAAGTCATGGCGGGAGGGGGAGATGGTAAAGCTAAGTGTCTGCCTGCCCCCCACTATGGAAGCTGAAGAGGGTCCTGAGAGGCCCTTCCTTGGCAGAGCTCATCCCATTGTCCACCCAGCTGGAGATGGGCACAGGATTTTGAAACATGGGCAAATGGAGCTGAGATGGCAACATTAGTGGTAGGAGGAATATTGTGCTAATCTGAGCTCTCTGCACTTCCTGACTTTGGCTTTGGACAAGTTACTTCAAATTGCTGAGATTTTATTTCCTTATCTGTAAAGTGGGTGCAGTAAGAGTACCAACCTCATGGGTGTTTGTGAGGATTCAATGGTGAAAGTCCCATTTAAAGTGCCTGGCGGGGCTGGCCCCGTGAAGTGCGTGCACTCCGCTACAGGCGGCCTGGGTTCGGATCCTGGGCGCACACCAATGCACTGCTTCTCCGGTCATGCTGAGGCGGCGTCCCACATACAGCAACTAGAAGGATGTGCAACTATGACGTACAACTATCTACTGGGGCTTTGGAGAGAAAAAGGGAAAAAAAAGGAGGAGGATTGGCAATAGATGTTAGCTCAGGGCTGCTCTTCCTCAGCAAAAAGAGGAGGATTGGCATGGATGTTAGCTCAGGGCTGATCTTCCTCACACACACAAAAATAAAATAAAAAAAATAAAGTGCCTGGCACATGGTAAGGGATCCATCAATGTTGGCTTCCATCATTAAATGTGGGAGGGCCACACAAGTAGCCAGAGGGAGCCACAGAAAGTTCTTGAGCAGGGAAGTAACATCATCTCTTCATCTTTTTGGGGGGCACACAAGATGGGTGGATAATTGAGATGCTTTTGACAAAGAAGATTTGGGAAATGCCAGGCCTGGGGTGGGTGGGATGAGCCGAGGTGGAGGAGCATTTCCCAGTGGCTGAAGTAACCGCCACACCCCTTCTGAAGGACAGGCATGTTGCTCCATGTGGACCTGCTACGTGCCTTGATGGCGGTGCAGTGGACAGTTCTTTTTTGTGCCAGTCCTGCACACGATGCCTTTTGTGGTAATTGCATTCATATTTTCCTGGGAGAGGCATCCTTCCTTCCACTCACCCCCACCCCATGTCCTTGAGGGGCTGACCTCACCCCCTTCCTAAAGGGGCTCCATATAGCCAGGTCTGGCCAGTCTTGGCTGTGATTGGCTCAGGCAGGGGCACGTGACCCAAATGGGTGCAATGAAAGTCAACCCTGGGACTTTGGCTGGAACTACTGGGAAACAGCTCCTGCTTTCCCCGTCAGATGTGAGCCAGGAGCTGTCTGGGACACTGGAGAGAACTGCACAAGAATGAAGTCATCACAGAGGGAAGTGGTGCTGAGAGAGTCAAAGAAGACTGAGGTCATTGTTTGAGCACCTGGATCTAGCTGTGCCTGAAGTGAGGTACCACCCCAGGACTTCTCAATATGTTCCCTTTTTTGTTTTACTCCAAGTTGAGTTGGTTTTTTGGTCACTTGTATCTGGAAAAGGCCAGACTAATAAATTCAACCATTTACAAACTCCAAGAGACCCCTAGAGACTCCTCTTTTTCTAGTAGGGAAAACATTTCTCTGCTGTTGTTTTTCTGCCAACTTTAGGGTTTTCAGAGAGGTTTGGGGCAGAGAATGGAAAGCGAAGATGCGGGAAGTAACAGTACCTCCAGTCAGAAGGTTGAATGAACCCTTCCCAGCTAATTACACCACAGGGTTTAGGAGCAGAGACCCTCTCATTAAACTTTTAGGAGTCTTGGAAGGATAGGGCAGGAATTATCCCAGCGAAGCTTGGAGAGGTTGGTGCTTGCCAGGTATTGTGCTCAGGGATGTACACACATCATCTGGAAACTCACCTCAATCCTGTGAGGTACTACTGCCACTCTCCCCTTTGCAGATGTAGAAATCAAGGCTCCCTGGCTCGGTCAAGGTTTCCCAGTTTGCAAGAGGTGGAGGTGAGACTTGAACCGAGATTTCCCTTCTCAAGTGCCCTTGGGTTTTTTTTTTTTTTTAAAGATTTTATTTATTTTATTTTTCCCCCCAAAGCCCCAGTGGATAGTTGTGTGTCGTAGCTGCACATCCTTCTAGTTGCTGTATGTGGGACTCGGCCTCAGGATGAACGGAGACGTGGTGCCTCGATGCGCACCCGGGATCCGAACCCGGGCCACCAGCATCGCAGCGCGCGCACTTAACCACCAAGCCACAAGGCCGGCCCTGCCCTTGGTTTTTAACCATTCAACAAAACTGCTTAAGAGAACCCTCTTAAGTAAGTAATCACAGGATTACCAGTTGGAAAGTAGCAGGTGCAGTGTTGATACTGTAGCTGGATTATTTCATTGAGTCCTCCCAACATGCTTTAGTTGTCAGATATTCCTGACTAAGGAGAAACAGGCCCCTGGAGACCCGATCTTAATCACACAAAGGTTAATGCAGATGCGGGACTTGAACTCAGGTTCTCCACTGAGTCTGGCTCTCCCAGGGACATGGGCATTCACTGTGGCACTTACGCTCGCGCACGCGCTTGCACACCTCCACGACGGGGATCTCATCACTTTAGTGGCGTGCTTCCCCCGGCACTTCTTGGGTAATTCCCTCCTGGCCCAGACCCTCGCCCCAAGTCCGGCGTAGCGGGTGAAGCAAAAGGGGCAGTGCCAGGAAGGGGCGGAGGGGCCTGTCCGGGGGTCGTCCGCAGTGCGGCAGGCGGCGGCGCCGAGCCCTGAACTGCGAGCGCTGGGGCCAGGCTGCACCGGTGCGGAGGGGGTGGGCGCGACGCCGGGAACAGCGGCCGGCTCCGAAGGGCGCG